TATTTAATAACAGACAAAGTGGATATTTTATTTTGGAATCAAAGTGCTGTTATGTGGATTTATGGTTTATAAGGTTGGCAGTGTTTCTGAGTACTTTCTTTTCCAAAGTACATAAATATAAAGTGGTAAAAGTTTTGTTTTTAGCTTATAAATGTAGTTAATCATCTGTTCAAACAATAAAAATTTCTATTTATTAATGGCCAAGAAATGTTAGGGGGTTTTGTTTTTTCTTTTTTACAAGAGACTCATTTAAGTCAACTGGATGAAATGAATAGACAGTGAATATCACAATGGTTTAGGGGGGATCATGGCACACCAGTTGATCATGTGGAACTGCAGTTATTAATCCATTAAAGTTGTTACTGCCTCTGAGTCTTATTTAAAGGTCATGGTCTTTTTTAAGGATTTTGTTGATGAGGAAGAGAACTATTTGTGTTTGATCCATCCAGCGCGTGCACGGATGTGCACTCAGACTAGCGTGCTGAAGTATGTTCTCTACTTGGAATTTGCAACACTGAGCAGTGGGTGGGCAATAACATGCGAGAGCTCTTGTGGGCTACATGAGGATTTGTATTGATTGTTCTGTTCTTACATCCTGTTTTTTATCGTGGTTACAATATATGCAAACACGTCAGGCAATTAGACATGTGAAGACCTGGTTCTGCTTGATTATTTGACTTCCTGCAACTAATAATGAGATTTTTGAAAGATTTAGTGCTATGCCATTGAATATAAAAGAGGATCAGAGGCCTGTATGTGCAATGGAGTTAGGTGTGGTAGATTAAATTTGTCCTGGCATCCTTATTGAAGCCTCCCTGTAGGCACTATCAGCTGTAATCAGCACTGTTGCCAGAAATAACATTGCAGTGTCAGAAATATGGATATTTTAAGGGTATAGCCGGGGGACTTGAAGTGTTCACTTATTTGTTTAACTTTAAATTAATAAAGACCCACACGATTCTTTTTCTTTCCTGGGTCGTTGTTGAATTCCGTCATTTTAATTCTTTTTAATATTCTTCATAAACACTGCTGGCATCCAAATTACATATAACTACTTAGGAAAAAGCTAAGTTTCATTGTGGCACATTGAAAATATCCGCTTACGTGCACAGTAATGGCCTAAAATGAAATAAATTCCCAGCAGGATTCAGAGGACAGGAAAGAATAGTTAAGCTATAACTTAACCGTTGTGTCAGTCAGTGTTATGCCTACACTTTGAACAATGTGTTCTCTTTCAGTTGCTAGAATTTATTTTTCTGTTTTCTTTTTCATGATAATAGGGACTAGAAATGATCAACAAAAGTTATAAATTAGGCACAGGGTATGACCGGATACTACACTAATGATTCCTAGCAAAGGAGTGAGTTTTGATTCTCAGAAAGATACAGGATATACAATGATTTTGAAATTCCTGGAAGAGTCCAGTTCTTCACATTATTTACTACCTCTTTCCAGTAAGACTGTGGCTGTGAGAATCAGACAAGTTAAACTTGGCACATACTTGACCTCTGTGGCATTGATTTCTCCTCACTCAGAGGCTGGCTTGTAGGCCCAGGTGCTGGACACTGTTCAATGCGTAGGTGACCCTGAGATCAGAGTGAGACAGTGTTACCGGGAAGGCGCAACAGCATAAATCTAAAAATTAGTAATCCCTAGCCCTGTTGAATTCTTCAATACATGCCTCACGATGTCATTTAACCATCAACTGTAACTGTATAAAATTAAGAATATCTTTTCTATTACATTTGTTACCTTAAATAAGATAATGTATATTCACTTAAAGAATACACTTCTGGTTATTTCCCAAAAACAATCCTGCACAGGGGCCAATCACATCTGACAGTTCATTGTTCCTGCCATTTGTATTGATTGATTCCAAGAAAGACAGGAACCAGTAGGTTTCCTGAAGAGTTATAATAGTAGTATTAATAATCAGATTATTAGAAGTCAAGTAATTGTAAAACTTGCAAACACATTTTAATTTGTGCTGCTTACTTTTTGTGTTTCTCTTTTTGAACAAATTGCAATTCACCAGTCGATTTCAGTGTGGTTTATAGACCACTCCTCCATGCAGGTTTTCTGTACGCATTACTGTGCCGCATTGCCTGCGTTACAAATGCTACTCAATTTTTTGCAGGTCTTTCCTTCAGAACATGGAAATCAGCAGTAAAGCCTTAAGTTTAGCTTTAGAAGAAGCTTTTTCCAGTCTAAAGGAATCTTATGGTGTCACTTTCAATCTCTCCTGTGAAAGTTAAATTTCTTTCTCTTGCTTCCTTTTATGTTCAAAAACTTAAATAATTTATTACTACAAAGGAATGTGTACTGAATCCAGTAACCAACAGAGGATGTGGAAAGATTTATTGGGAGAAACATTAAGAGCATTCCTGGCCAGGTGTATTTTATTTCTTTTTTTTGTGAAATGGGGAAAAAAAATATACACCTTCAGCCAACTTCAGATATGGCTGGAAGCCCATTTGGAAAACAGTGTCTGTAATTGTGAAGTGCTTCTCGAAACAAACTGAACAAAAAGCGATGAGGGGTGCAAAGAGATTGGCATTGCTGAATAGCAAGAAATGTGTTGCTAGATCTTGAAAGCGACTGCAGTGTTTGCCATCTGAGTGGGTGTATGCACATGACTTCTGCTCTCCTTGTACATTATACAGCAATTTATACCTATGGGAAATGAGGAAGTGAAAACCCTACCAAACTGGAGTAGTGGATTCTGAGTTCCTCTTTGCACCCCCGGTCCCTGACAGAAGGTACTGGAGGAGCAGGACCTGAGTACACTTCTGCACTCCTTGCTTAACTGAATGGGAGGTGTCACTCAGTAAACAGCAAGACACAGCTGTGGTGAACGTTTTTACTCTATGACAACTTTTTAGAACACTAATAAATAATTTTACTGCATATTAGAATATATAACATGAATTTGTTAGGAGTGTAATCTTTTGGGGGTTTTGTAACAGCTTACTTATTTGATAATTTTTAGGACAAAATTCTAGTCAAATACAAACATAATTTTTCCAGGAATGATAAAAGAATCAGGTATAAACTAATTCTATCCAGTTACCTCTCTGGCATGTTTCCTGTCATTTACATAAAGCACAAAGTTAATAAGAGCATTATTGTAGAATCATAGAATAGTTTGGGTTGGAAAAGACCTTTAAAGGTCATCTAGTCCAACCCCCCCTGCAATGAGCAGGGGCATCTTCCACTAGACCAGGTTGCTCAGAGACCCGTCCAAGCTGACCTTGAATGTTTCCAGGGATGGGGCATCTACCACCTCTTGGGCAATCTGTTCCAGTGTCTCACCACCCTCATCATAAAAAATTTCTTCCTTATATCTAGTCTGCAACTACCTTCTTTTAGTTTAAAACCATTACCCTTTGTCCTATTGCTACAGGCCCTACTAAAAGGTCTGTCCCCATCTTTATTATAAGCCCTCTTTAAGTATTGAAAGGCCACAATAAGGTCTCCGCAGAGCCTTCTCTTCTCCAGGCTGAACTACCCCAAGTCTCTCAGCCTTTCCTCATAGGAAAGGTGTTCCACCCCTCTGATCATTTTTGTGACCCTCCTCTGGACCCGCTCCAACATTGAGAGTGTTCCAGGGACACCTTTCCCCTTTCAGTTTTTCCTTCAACCCCAACTTCTTAGTCTCCAGCTCCCCTCTGTGCTAGCTGAATAGGTTAAGTCCCTTCAGCAGTAGCCTTATTCCTTAAAAAGCAGTTTTTAACATTATGTTTTTGTATAAGTTGTTGGAACCGTTTCCTCTTTCTCCATTAATCCAAGTTTCTTAAACATACTCTACAAATTCTTCCCTGATGCAGCATCTTAGAAAAATGGTGGTGAAAAAAATATGGAATCAAACTGCTCCATCCTCCTGCCCCAGGCAGGAAGCTGTACCTGCGTCCCATTTTACAGGTATGCGGGTCTCATGTTACAGGGCCCTAATGATGAGTTCCCTTGATCTGTCCAATAATCTGTTCCATTGTATACCAGTCCTTACTGTTAAAACGACTTCCCTGACTACTTCTACCCCAGTTTAAGTTCCCTTAAGCCTATTGCTTCCAGTTTTATCCATCATAGCTATGGAGAAGAGCTCTTGTGTTCTCTTTGTAGCTCCCCTTCTGTATTTGAAACTTCTATATTTTCCCTAGAGTTTTGTAGACCTTTCTTTTTCTCTGTTGCTTCACAGAAGTTGTTCCCTCCTATTTCTCTCTCCAGGGATGTGTCTGTGGCTGGCTACACCTACTGATATTCTCCCAGTGGCAAATGAAAAGGTTACTGGTAGCAAGAGGCTAACCTTTTATAGTCAATACAATTAAGAAAACTTGGCAATTAGACAAAGGACTCTTTCAAATGTGAGCTGGAGTGCTCAGTTAGAAGCACAGAATCAAAGTCTCATTTTATTACTTCTTCCTGTGTTGGTCTCTATACTTGCCTATCAAAACCAGACTACTTTTTAAAGTTATTTGATACAAAGATCAGCCTGAAAACTGACTGAAGTCCCAGTGCTTAAATGCCTTTGTGAGTTTTAAGTAGTTTGCAGACTACAGATGGGATTCAGTGGGTGCTTAACTACAGGGCTTTAACTATGCTACTCAATGAATGAAATCCTCCATTTTGTTCCAATGTTTTCAAACCCGAAATTTTTACTACTTTTTAAATTTTAAATATCAGTTAGGAAGCAAGTGACAGAATCAAGCTTCTGGTTTTTTTGTTGGTCTCTAGATAGATCGCATTAATTCTGGCAGTTAAAATACATTCCTTTTAGAAAAATAATTTTGCTTTTTAAATCATCATGGAGATTGGAAAATTGATATTACTATGAAATGGTGTTTGCTTAAAATATAAGTTTTAGAAGTTCTTCTAGAAAGTACAGATACATTTTTTAATTTTTTTAAAGAATCATATGGTAATTTTGCGATTTTAAATACTTACTTTTTCCACTTTTGTTAACATATTGTTTTCCCTGCTCCCCCCCCTTTTTTTTTCCCCAGGACCATTTGCTGCTTCAGGAGACAGTAAATTCTGCTGCTGCTCTTATCATGGCATTAATAAAGGACAGAAACCCGGAGCTGATTGGCCAGCTGTTGGTAGCATGAGACCATAAATCAAGTGTAGCTTTTGGAAATGTTTCTTTTTCATCATCCATTCACCAAAGGTCTTGAATCATTTTACCCTTTGATGAAAACTCTGGATTTATAACATTTACTATTAAGATCTTTTAACAACATATTTTTGATACTTAAAATACAAGTCTGATATTATGTATAAAGTATAAAATGAAATACAGATCATTCTGAGATACACTGGGTACATACTGTGAGGAATGATACTGAAATGTTTTTGTGAGGTACTGGTCATGTAAAAAGGTGCACAGAGGACACCAAAGCATTCATGCAGAATTGTCTTTAACCCATGTATGTGTGTTGTACTCTCAGACTGCATGAATTAAATTTTATTTAAGATAAAATAATCCTAAAGCACAGATCATCTTCTCTATATGAAATTATTTAAAAATTGCTGCTATACCTATTAGTGAATGTAGAGTTCAGTATACAGTGTAGCCTTCCTGACATGAACAGAAACACACATTGCAAGAAGTGTTTGAAAGGTCAAGTCCCCATCCCCCATGGAATGAAGGTACCCTTGAAACAAAGAAAAGATGTGCATGGGGACAACAAGGTGCTAAACCCCAGTTTTCCAGATGCAGTATACTCTGGCTGTAGCGCTCCTTAGTGCTACACTTCTTCCAGTACCCATGTGCCATCATTCTGAACTAGCTCCAGTAGCTCCACTGAGTACTGTATTACATGTACTCTTTGTGTTTGCACGTGTGTGTACATATATGCATGTATGTGTGTATGCATGCTTAAAGGAAGAGAAAAGGGTTAAGACTGAAAGAAATGCTTCGCAACCCAATCTGTAGGTAATGGAGAAATAGGAAGATTCTGGTAGCTGATCTTCAAGTGTACAATTTTCATCTCTTGCTGGTTAGCATATGTATGTATTAAATAGTAATGAACTGAGTGTTATGAGTTCAAATATATGCTACATTGATATTCAAGTGTGGAAAGTTGGGACAGGAAGGTGAAATGGTGAATGGTTATTATGTGGAGTATCTCCAGGTATCACAACCACTAAGAGCAATATAGGAAGAGGACAGTCCCTGAAAACACCTGTCCCTCCTTATGCATCAGACTCAGGAATTCCAGCTCTCCTGCAACTTGTAAAGGGACTAGTTTAATGTCTTGCATACCTGCTGTGATTGGAATAAGGTCTTAGAGAAGTATCCCCACCAGAAGTGTCCAGTGAGTCCCCCGTTCAATCTGTCCTGAGCAAGAGCACTGTCGATTCAGCAAGTTTCCCTCTGAAACCAGCATTCCTGCCCTTACTCCCACCATGTTCCACTCCCTCTGGTGCTCAGACAAAGCTTAGGATAGCATGATCCATGCTTGGTCCCCTCCCTTTTTCCCTTCAGCTGACTATCTGTATCTCTGTTTTAAATCCCTTTTAGAAACTGATATTGATCCCAAACTTCCTTCATTGCACGATAAAATAAAGTTGTTAGCTGACTGTTCTATATCCAAAGCACACATTTTCTTGCACACAGAAGTCATCCTAAGACGACTAACAAAGTTCTCATGCATCATCTGCTTTCTTCTTTGCTTTGCTCTCCTCTCTACTTTGATTAATAATTTGTCCTTTTCTGACATCGTACAACATAAGCATTCATATTAGCTCTGTGTATGGCTATACAATAGGCATATTTTATTCATGTATATATTTGTGGCTGTTCATATGCAGAGTATGCAAATAAATGAGGAACTAAAGAATTTATTATTGGTATTCATAATTTAACAGGACAGCTTTCACAAATAAGTTTTCTGAATTCGCTTTTACATTAATAAATTTGATGAAGTAATTCGTCTCACAAGCTTTTAAAAGACGTGATGAAAGAAGTCTCTTTGACTGTATTTTGTGATTCTTCGCTTGAAGACTAAAATAAAATCTGTGATGTGTTTTCCCCAAATAATAAGCAAGTGAATTTAGAAAATCCTTCATGTTTTCTATACACTCTAATTTATACATTGTGATACTGCCTTAGCATTGGTTTGTGTGTAACTTACCATTTGCTTAAACAAAACCTTTTATGTTGTAGGGTTGTTTTACTTACCTCATTCTCTTAAAATTATTTTAATCCAATTAAAAATGTTACTTCAATGAACTGCTGTGATGAAAAATTTTATTATGGTTGTTTATGGACTTAGTTTCAGGTCATCAAACATGCTTAGTACTAATCTAAGATAAGCATTATTAATGTACTGTTAATCATTGCATTATGGATTTTTTTATCTTTAACAATCTTTTCAAATAATCTACAAACACTAAAAAATGTATTTTGCTGGAAGCAAATACACAAACAACAGAACCACTAAAACAGATCACAAAATACTAGAACTGCAGTAAAAAAAAAAAAGAAACCGGACTGTGATTAGTGCTATTGTGTATCCAAACCAAATTTAAATGGTCTTTTGGATTATTGTTAATACTTACAATGGGAATAAAGATATAAAATGAAATTAAGAAACTGGTTGATTGGTTTTGGTCTGTGCATAGCTACTCACAAATAGCTATATACATGAGAAACTTGGCAGCCTTTTGTACACACACGCTGTTTTGAATTTAAGTAGTGAATCAGTCACCACCCATATTGCTTTGAACATTTGGACAGAGATAACACAGAGTAAATAAAAGCTCAGACTCTGCCAGCCTTGCTTACCTTACTCCTCAAGCACTCCAATTAGTATTCCTTGGGTAGTGATCATCAGAAAAGAGAATACAGAATATGGACCTAGAAATGTTTTTCATAACTGCAAAGTTGAGTGAATTAGATTTGTATATTGAAACCAATCCACTTCATGCAAAATCTGAAAACTAAGTTACTTCATTTGTCTTAGATCAGTCGGCAGAAGAATTTCTAGTTACAATCTTTTTTTCTTTAGCTTTCCAGGCTACGTAGCTTGAAAAAGGTGGCTTGATGGTCCTCTAAAAAAGGTTGAAAAATGAAAAGGGTAGAAGATGGTGGAATTAAAAACAAACAAAAAACCCACCCCAAAATCAAAGGAGAAACAAACTGAGATGTGACCCTATTGTAATATTGTATTGTATTAGCTCATCTTGATAACTAATGTAGGCTGCAGAACAAAAAGTTTTAGTGCATTTCAGATTTGTATTTCTGTATGACACCAGAGCCTCATCATCTCCACAATGCTGTTCTAGGTGCCATCCAAACAGAAGCTTCCAAAGACATATAAGGTTCCCGATCACCACTTAGCACTTTCTGATGATACAGCAACTTTTCCTGTCTGTAGGCCAAAATGGACTGTCGTGGTTTAACCCAGCCAGCAACTAAGCACCACGCAGCCGATCGCTCACTCCCCCCCCCTCAGTGGGATGGGGGAAAGAATTGGGAAAAGAAGTAAAACTCGTGGGTTGAGATAAGAACGGTTTAATAGAACAGAAAAGAAGAAACTAATAATGATAACACTGATAAAATTACAATAGTAATAATAAAAGGACTGGAATATACAAGTGATGCGCAGTGCAATTGCTCACCACCTGCCAAACGACGCCCCATTAGTCCCTGAGCAGCGATCCCCCCACCCCCACTCCCCCCAGTTTATTTACTAGATGTGATGTCACACGGTATGGAATACCCCTTTGGCCAGTTGGGGTCAGCTGTCCTGGCTGTGTCCCCTCCCAACTTCTTGTGCCCCTCCAGGCTTCTTGCTGGCTGGGCATGAGAAGCTGAAAAATCCTTGACTTTAGACTAAACATTACTTAGCAACAACTGAAAACATCAGTGTTATCAAAATTCTTCTTATACCTAACTCAAAAACATAGCATTATACCAGTTACTGGGATGACAATTAACTCTATCCCAGCTGAAGCCAGGACAGTCACTCCACCAGAGAAGGGTCATAGTTTGTTTGCTCTGTTCTCTCTGTCTCGGACACTTGCTACTGGTCACTTTTTTTTTTTTCACAGGTTTTACTTCTGAAGAAAAGCACATTTACTTCCAGAAGTGCAAAAGTTTTTTTATCTCATATCTCCTTCCTCTTCATCCATAACTTTGATCTGAAAAATGCTAGTTTATCTTACCGAGCATCCACGAAGATGTGCAGACAATGCCTGCTTCCCTTGGTTCCTGTTAAGGAAGGTTTTGGGGTTCAGGAATAGGCTCATGTTAACAGTGTTCCTGCAGGAGCCAGAATTCTGGGCAAGAGCTACCTTTGACCTGGCCCAGTGTGACTGCTCTGATGATTGGGACATACAAATGACTGGTAGTTGTAAAAACTGTGTGTTACAGGATGAATTGAGCCCTTCAGAGTATTAGTAGTGTCTCAACCTTATGTTTTTTAAGATTTCTGACTATTTTCTCTGGTCTGTATGACAGATGCACTAGTCTTATTTCTGCCTGACTGGAAAAAAGGTATTTAGTTATTAGATTGATTAATTCAGATGCATAGTTTATTAGATGGATGATTTTTCTCTTTGTGTAGGTAACAAAAGAATGGTATTCAGAGGAATTTCCTCTTGTTTGTTTCAAAGATCACTTATTAAAACCACAAATAATTCTCACTGAAACAGGGAGAGCTGCTGAGACTTGTAAAAAGAATAATATCTCTAAGGGTTCCCATTGGTAAAATCTGTTATGAAATATTACAATATAAATATGTATCTTATCTTTATCTTATAGAAATACATGATTGTGATATAAAAAAGATCAACTATAACTACATTAAAGCCAATCTTGAAGAGCTGAATTCTGAGAAACTGAGAAGCTGCTTTCATTATTCATACCCAACTCAATCAATCCAATCTTTTGCACCTGGTTTTGAATAATTTGTAACGGCACCCAGTTCAATGACTAATGCCCCACTCTGGGTGCCTACGGTAAGATAGCAAGGCAAAGTGTCAAAATGGGTTCAAATCTTTGAGCCCCCAATGCCTGCACTTTCAATTTCAGGCTGGTAATTTTTTTATGATGTCTATCTCCCTCAGCCCATTCCTCAGCCTGGTTGTTTACCACAATTCA